CACACACACCCACACACTCACTCACTCACTCACACACACACACACACATTCTAAAGCCTTCTTTAAGACTAAAAACAGCTAATGGCACCATTTGAAAAATCTTTTACCATTTCTGTCTATACACAGGCATCTTTAAAAGTTTATTCCCCAGGATATTTCAGGTTTTAAACTTTCTTTTTAAGTGATCGAGCCAATAACCGAGGTGAGAATGATATTATTGGATGTGAACGGCACTCGGTGACACATTCATACGATGCTGTGACTCCAGGGATGCGCCTGCATCACGCTCACCTCTGTTGCTATGGCGACGCGTGTTTTGGGATTGGGGTCGAGGACGGGGTAAGCGCTCGTAACAATTAATCACAAATACAGACCCGCTGCCTTTCCCAGCTCCAGCATCGGCGGGTCAAGCAGCTGAGATTAGATTATTACAGCCTATTGAAAATAACAACAGCGCCTTTATTGTTTCATTATCTCCACAGGTCTGAGTCCTAAAGCAAACCAATCACTAAAATCATCTATGACTGTGAAAGTTATATTATATGTGGTAATTGAAAATATCACAATTTAATGATTTTTTTTAAACAGCTAATAATGTTGTAGTGCCTACTTTTAGATAGCATAGTGAATTAAATAAATTCTCTTTTTTGCATTTAGAAATTTCTTAATAAATTTCACAAATAATTACAAAAAAACAGCAAGAAACAAACTGAATTAAAAGTGAAATTTAGAAATAGAAAGACTGAAATAGTACTTTACATTAAAATATATTAAATAACAAATAAAATAATAATTACAGGTTTTTAAATCATTTATTTTTTATTTTTAGGGTCTCATCTAGAGTACATTCACACAATAAAAATCAGATTTTGGATTTTCACTCAGAAATCACTAGTAAATTTCACAAATGGCAAGTGACACATCAAATTAATTAACTAATTTATCAAACTAATTTTTACATTTTTTTATTTATTTTATTTTATTTTTTATTTTTTTTACAGTGTAATGATGTGGTAATATTCATTTTTAGATAATATAGTGAATTAAGTAAACTTATTATTATTAAATTAAAATTATTTCTCTTTTTGTTTTTAAATAAATTCTCTTTTGTTTTTAGGGTCTAATGCACAGTAAATTTAGACACAGTTTTTGTTTTGTTTTTGTAGGATTTACTGTAGGATGTAAACCATTTTCACACAATAATTTCTCTTTTTGTTTTAAAATACTTTCTTTTTTATTTTAGTGTCTCATTCAGAGTAAATTCACAAAACAAATATTATTCAGAAATTGTTAGTAAATTTCACAAATAGTAATCATTTTTAAAAAGGCAAGAAAAACACTTAAAGGGATAGTTCACCCAAAAATGAAAATGTGATGTTTATCTGCTTACCCCCAGGGCATCCGAGATGTAGGTGACTTTGTTTCTTCAGTAGAACACAAACGAAGATTTTTAACCCTTTGGGCGCCAGGGATTTTTGGGGAAAATGCTGGATTTTGACATCAAGATTTCAAAAGCTTGTGGTTTGAAAGGGCTTGAAGATAGAGATCTACTGTAAATTAGAAAAATATTGGGCATGACCGAAAGTTTATGTGGGGTGTAAATATACTCGTCTAATTTGCATATTTTGTTAAAGGGATAGTTCACCCAAAAATGAAAATTTGATGTTTATCTGCTTACCCCCAGGGCATCCAAGATGTAGGTGACTTTGTTTCTTCAGTAGAACACAAACAAAGATTTTTAACTCAAACCATTGCAGTCTGTCAGTCATATAATGTAAGTGAATGGGAATCACGGCTTTGAGAGTCAAAAAAATAACATAAACAAAACCAAATTAAACCCTGCGGCTCGTGACGATACATTGATGTGTAAAGACACGAAACGATCGGTCTGTGCAAGAAACTGAACAGTATTTATATAGTTTTTTACCTCTGATTCACGCAATGTCCGAACTGTCCTGAGCGTGTTCGCAGACTTATAAGTACATTACCGCCACCTATCTCTCAAATGGACCTTTGACACTCTATCAACAATCTCAATTAGGAGTGTCAAAGGTCCATTTGAGAGATAGGTGGCGGTAATGCACTTATAAGTCTGCGATCTGCCATAAAGAAGACGACGAGTCACGCGCCGGCTGAAGAAGAAGACATGAACGCACGCTCAGGACAGTTCAGACATTGCGGTGCATCAGAAGTAAAAAAACGATATAAATACTGTTCAGTTTCTTGCACAGACCGATCGTTTCGTGTCTTTACACATCAATGTATCGTCACGAGCCGCAGGGTTTAATTTGGTTTTGTTTGTGTATGTTTTTTGACTCTCAAAGCCGTGATTCCCATTCACTTACATTATATGACTGACAGACTGCAACGGTTTGAGTTAAAAATCTCCGTTTGTGTTCTACTGAAGAAACAAAGTCTCCTACATCTCGAATGCCCTGGGGATAAGCAGATAAACATCAAATTTTCATTTTTGGGTGAACTATCCCTTTAATTAAAGATTAAATTTTGAAGTATAAAGACTGAAATAGTATTTTATTATAAACCATACTCTAATAATCTTGGTTTTGTTTACAACATTTAAAAAAAAAAAATTAGAGTGTAATAATGTTTATTTTTAGATAAAATACTGAATTAATTTGTTTTTAAATAATTTTTCTTATTGTGTTTAGGGTCTCGTATGTAGGATTTGCACAGTTTTCACTCATAACCTGTTAGTGAATTCCCTTTTTGTTTTTGGGCTCTAATCACACATGGAGCAGTCAAAGGAGTCCCTGATTTGACTAAATCCACAGAATGATAACTTACGCCATAACAATCACGCTGAAGTCCAGCCAGTTCCAGGGGTCCCTCAGGAAGGTGAAGGGGCCGATGCAGAAGCCCCGCGCCAGGATCTTTATCAACGACTCAAACGTGTAAATGCCAGTGAACGTGTACCTGAGCGGAAGAGAAAACGGAGGGATGGACAGAGATTCAGACCGCGGAAAACCCCACGGGGGACATACAGAGATCATGAACGGAGACGGGACACAAACATGGAGTTGAGAGGAAATGTGAAGCACATTCACAGTCCAGCAGCCCCTGTGACATGAATGACAGCGAGTCGCTCCTTGATGAACTGCTGAATGGACATTAAAATCCAGCGGAGCGAGAGACCCTCCAGCGGAGCGGATGGAGACCGGCTGAGAGATGCAGCATTCTGCAGTGTTTCTCTTTTCATCTTTCTCTTCCTAGTTGGACTCAGCTCAGATCTCGTTCTGGTTTGTATCGTACCTCTCATCACATCTGAGTCTCGTGCAATCAATGTGCATTTCTAAATGTGCCTTTTTTTAAATGGCATCGCTTTCATTTTCACAAACAGGCCCACACGGAATCCACACGGAATCTACGGAATTCTACAGATTTCCATGGAATCATGTCTTCAGCAACCAGTAAAAGTGCAGCATTCTCAGTTTAAGTTTAATGCATAAATCCCAGAATTCCATAGATTTTTTTCTTCAAAATCAGTGCAGAAGATGCAGAAATAGTCTGTAGATTCCCGTCTGGGCCTGTTCATGAGATGGAAAATATACATACAGTGGCCCTAAAATGTATTTACACACTTTTTACCCACACTTAAAAATATATGAATGTCATTGCATTAAACAGGAAAATATAAAAACAAGTGATATTTAAATAGCTTTTACATTCACACACACACACACACACACACACACACACATAAATGATAAAATGACTA